GGGAAAGAAGAAGGCGTATTTAAACACGAAACTTTCCGATAGTTGAATTCCAGCTTACGTCGGAAGAAACAGCCGCGGAGAAACATCACACAGTATGATGCAATGAAATTACAGATTTATCTCAATGCGTATACTCTTCAAATACGCGCATTCTATTCTCCTATCGATATTATATCGCGCGCTGGATCGCGATACGTTATTACCCGAGATAACGTGGAGGATCCTTGAGGAACCCGACTGATGAGTAATAATGAGCTGCATGCCGTTCCGAGATTACCGAGATTATCGACGATTGACGTGTGCCTACGCCTTGCCTGAAACAAGGCGAATGATATTTTTGGAAAGAGATCACGTCGTAGAGAAAGAGAGAGTGATTCACGGTGAAAACGGAACGGTGAATGTGCATGTTGTATTTGTCAAAAAATAATTACGCTCGTCCTTTTAGTTTCATTACAGCGTGCGAGTTCAACTTCAAGTACCTGCTCTATTTTCTCATACTTTCACTTTTTCAGGTCAGTTTTTCAGTCGTTCGTTCATTTTCGCCTCATTTTTTTCGAAATTCGCATTTAAACTTGATGTTAAAAAATAGGTCAGTGGTAAAAAAAAAAGTAATATCTCACGGAGAAGGAAAGAATTCTCTCACGGAACGTCGCGACCATTTCTGCCACGACTGTGCAGAAAGGTCAAATTTTACGGTTCGACTTCTCTGAGTTACGTAACTGTATGTTACGCTAAAGTAGAGCATTCTCAAATTTTTAAACGTTTCCGTCGGCTGGTTCACTATGTCCAGTTTCGCTCCCTGTGATTCGTTTTTTCTTTCGTTTACCTTCGCATCTCTCACGTCTCGTCCTTCATCCGTTTATCCCTCTGGCCTATTTTGGAGCGACACAATACCATTTCATGGTTAAACAATGATTTTAAGTATCATCGGAGAGTCGAAGATACCCGCTGACTTTCCTTTTTTCGAAAAATTCCGGTATTTCCGCCCATTGCCAAGAATCTTTCTATGGTAATATATCGTTTTTTAACAATACCTGTCCCCGTTCCACTTGACAGTTCTCTTTAGTTCTATTTAACAGTATTTTTTTCACTTTTTTTCACTATGTAACATCACTTTTCCATGTACACGTAAAAAAGTATTCGCAATGGACTAAAATGTGAAATACTGGACAGGATAATTGTCGAAAACATAAGCTGTACTGAGTAGACATTAAACAAAAAATTTACTTTCTATCTTGTCACAAAATTTTTCGAAGATCTATTTTTCGGAATCTTCGTACTTCTTTTCTTTTTAAGTAAAATACTGTTTATTTAATGCATCTTTTTTTCATCACACTGCGATATAGTGAGATAAATTTTTCGCGTGAAAAATATTTATATTGAACTTTGCACGCATAAAATGATATCCTGTGGCAGTGTTGATCCAAACAATCCGCAGATACAAAGGGTTTAAAGAGTTGGTTTGCTGTAATTGTGGCTTGGCTATCAGCAGGTAGTAGATTGATCGTCAGTAAAGGGTTGGTAGTAATGGCAGTGTTGTTCCAAACAATCCGCAGATACAAAGGGTTTGAAGAGTTAGTTTGCTGTAATTGTGGCTTGGTTATCAGCAGGTAGTAGATTGATCGTCAGTAAAGGGTTGGTACTAACATAACCGTCAATAATGTTTTCCGTAAACAGACTCTTTTTCATTCTCAAGGACAAACCACCGTAACCCTTCTGTTGAGTTAAGTGTTAGTGTTAGGGTTACTTTTAGGATTGACAAAAAAAAGGGGGATAAATGTGTGAAAGACAAAATTCGAGTCTGTAGTACGGCAGCGATTTTTACCACATATTGAAAGAATTTTCCGCAACAACTAAAAGTACGGCTTAAATTGATATTTACGAACAAAATTAAGCATGCCCGAGGAAATTGTTTCCAGATATATCCTACTTTAAAGAAATATCATTTATTGAGAATTATATTAAAAAGTACGACGTTTGCATGTCTTAAGAAACATTACATCTTATAAAAAACTGCACATATTAACACGGAAATAAATGCGTTTCCAATGGTTTTTCATACGTTTCGGCGACGGCAACAGCAGCAAACATCCCGATTCGAACAAGATTTCTTTCCCATCCATTGCGCATCCCTCGCGAGCCACATAAAGCTCGCTTATTTACCTGCGCGGTTTTTCACAATATTTTGTCAGGTTTGTATGCGGAAGTACTTGCGCGTCGCACTCGTGCACTCTCCTTGGGTATCCCGCCCCTTAGCCACCCCTCATCCGATAAATCCCAGGACGCAGGACATTCATCGGGCAAAAAAAAGGTCTCTGCCAACAGACTCGATCGATTGTTCGCTTGGAATCGCGATCGAAAAATCCCCGTCGCGAGCGAACGTCGCTAACAGCGTGGCAACTTTGCGCTAACAAAAATTGGCACATTGCCGAAGCAAAGTAAGAGGATCTCGGATCGGAGTTGTCGATTATTCGACGGAGTATCGGGCGTCCACGCGCATCCTGATCTGTCGCATCTGGAGACGCGCGAATAAACGCGACTAAGAGAGATAGAGAGAAGGTTAAAAAAAGGGATAAAAAAATACACAAGATATTTTCGGTAACGTGGAAAGGAGCCTCTCTCTCTCTCTCTCTCTCTCTCTCGTGGATCGACCGATTCACTAATTCGACAATCGCCCTAGATCCCGCTCCATGATTCCCCGTCAGCTTTTTTTCCCATTTCTCTCGTATTCGCCCGGTTCGCCCTCTCCCTCCTCTCTCTCTCTCTCTCTCTCTCTCTCTCTCTCTCTCTCTCTCTCTCTCTCTCTCTCTCTCTCTGTCTCTCTCTCTCTCTCTCTCTCTCTCTCTCTCTCTCTCTCTCTCTCTCTCTCTCTCTCTCTCTCTCTCTCTCTCTCTCTCTCTCTTGCTAGCTCGAATCTCCGTCTTTGTCTCCACGGCGACGACAGGCGGCTGACAGAGAGTAGAGCGTGAGCTGTGTGTGTGTACGTGCGGATACGCGTGTATCCCGTCGACACGGGACGACGGCTACGAGACTACGACATGTGGCCGCGCTCGCGTGTGCGTGCCTCTCTCTCGCTCGTGCCGCGAAGGGCGTGCATGCGTGACACACAGAGTTACGCACGGGGATCCGACGGCATTCTTTCACATTTTTTTTCTTTTTTATCGCGACGGAGCGTGCGTGGAGGTGCGGTGCGGTACGGTGCGGTTCCATGCCATGAGCTCTCTCTCTCTCTCTCTCTCCCCCCCTTCTCCCTCTCTCTCTCTCTTTCTCCTTCTCTCTCTCGGCTGCGGGCACGCGCCGAGCCGCGCGTGAGCAGGTGAGACAGAGGAGCGGGAGGACCGCGCGCGTGCACTCCTAATTCCTCCCTTTGCCTTGCCGACCCCTTCCGCCCCAGCCGCCTCGGATAGCCCGGAGAGAACGACTCCCGCGGGGGTAAGTGTATCGCCGCGGAGAGTGCGTTTTCGCGAGCCGGATTCCCTTCGTGGCAGGAATAGCGAACTGAAACCGGGACGCGAGTCTGTGCGGGGCATTGTGCGTCGCTTTATCACATCCGGAAGTCGTCGTCGCCGTTGCTTTCGCCGCCGCCGACGGCGAATCGTCCCCGCGATGTTATCGCAGATACGTGACTCGGAAGATGACACGGAGCAATTAGGGAATTCACCGATTCTGATTTCACATTTATCCGCGTGCTGTATATATTATATATATATATATGATATATAATTTTCTTTTCTTTTTTCTTTGCTGAAACTGAACGTCGACACGTATCCGGCATTTTTATTCGATATCCCCGCAACTTGGCTGTGGATAAATTTACTTCGTCGTTGCTTTTCTCAGATCCGTTTCTATGCGCCGATCTGTACGCCTTTTGCGCAATGTGACGCACGATATATACCTTGGCGCATCCAACCTGGAAGACTCCGGACTCCGGACGTATCGCCGCGCAATTTGTATCGGGGCGCTTGTGAAATATTGACAGCCGCGGCGAACTTTTGCAAAAAACACGCGCACGCGAAACTGTCGATATCGCAAAAGCGGCAGTTCAGCAAACGTCGAGTAACGAATGCGCGTGCTCGCATATATTTGTATCGGGAAATGAAAGGTTGCGAGAGGATGCGCGAGATATTGCGCCGCTGTTGTACAATCGGGACAAACGTCGCGAGAGGGTGAGAGAGAGAGAGAGAGAGAGAGAGAGAGAGAGAGAGAGAGAGAGAGAGAGAGAGGGAGGGAAAGTGATATAAAAATTATCACGAATCGCGCGGGCAAGTGTCAATGCGTTCTTGATTTCTTCTCTCCTTTTTCTTTCTTCTTGCAATTACCATCTCCTGTTTCGCGCAGTTTTCAGAACAAGCGCGATCAACCGTTCGTTTTCAGATGCCGCGGATCACGTCGCGACCTCGTCCCTTACACTCTTTGCATTTCTCATCTTTCGCTCGCCCCTTCTGTCCAGGCGATCATCCGCCTTCTACCAGCGCGGCCTCCTTCAGCCCCTTGGGGCAAATGCGCTCTCACTCTCTCTCTCTCTCTCTCTCTCTCTCTCTCTCTCTCTCTCTCTCTCTCTCTCTCTCTCTCTCTCTATCTCTCTCTCTCACCCGCTCGCTCACTCGCTCTCTTTTTCTTCTTCTCTCTCTCTCTATACACGCGCCAATCCCTACTCTTAAAGATCACGGTCGCAGGTTCACCCTGTCTCGGCTCACCTCCTCCCTGTCTTCTGTCGCGCTTGCTCTTTCTACGACTACGCTTTCGCCCCTTTCGCCGTCGTGCGATCTCTTTCTGTAGTTCGCGGCAGCCTCCTCGCTCCGTCGCTCCCTGCCCATCCCTCTCATATCCCAGCCGCCCACCCTGTCTCTTTCTCTCGCTCTATCTCGATCTCGCTTCATCCTCTGCACGTGCCAACTCGGGACCCACGAGCGGCGTTTTAGGAGTCCGCGCATCCGGGGTTGCGATTCGAGAGGGTAGAATCGCGGCCTGGTAGGACGAGAGGGATTCGTAGTGGGGGCATAGGGGTGGGGATTGTTGACTACAGTCGTGCCGCTCTGTCGTGCCGCTCTGGACTGTCAGTTAGTATTGGGTTAGGTCAGCCCAAAGAAGCATCGTTGATTCGTGGCGCCGATCATCCTTTCCGTTGTCGGAGCTCGGCTGCCGGTTGTTTATTGTAGATTAGAATGCTAATTAAAATCGTGGCGCAATTCAGAGCGTGATAGTTTCGACGTCGCGCCTCACGTCAGCCAAGAGCGGGCGCGCGCGCGCGCGCGGTTGAACGAGCGAGCAAGCGAACTTCATCTTCGCGCGGATCGCGTGCTTGTTTCTTTTTTCCCTCTCCCCCTCTTTCGGTAGACAAACGAGGCGGAGAACAGTTGAGGATAACGGTCTCGATGCGATTCTTACGTCAACCGCGCCATTAATGTAGTGCTGCGCCGTCTCGCCTCGAGGCTTTTCCCTTTGCAATCCGCGTTATCGAAAGTGATTACGCTGTGCCGCGACGGGAAAGGGGGGGGAAGTGTATGGAGTGTCAATGTGAGGAAAGTTGGCATCACGGATCTCATAATGGCACTGTCTTACCTGCAAGACGCACAGATTGACGCAGGTACGGTCCAGGTGGATCACATAGAGGCGGTTGATGTTGGAGCACTGCCGACGGTTGACCTCGTGTCACCTCGGAAAGACCCCATACGAGTCTCTCCAACGTGTTAAGATCTGCTCTATGTGTGTCACGTAGTGGTGCAACGATATCTCGCGGTAATGTAACTTTTTCTATCTGCCTGCTCTCTTTCCCTGCTCTACCTTATTTTCGGCCTCCTTTTTTTCGCCTCTTCTACGCCTCTACTGCTAAGTCTCCACAAGTGTACTCCCGGCGCGAATAGAAGCGTGATTCGCTCGCTCGCTCGCGGGCAGCTTTGGCTCGGGCATTTTCAACTTCACTTCTGCCGTTTCGTAGCTGTCACATTCGCTCCCGACGAGAGGTGGAGAGAAAGAAGTCGCGAGGACGCGGAATTCCGACGACGACCGGCCGACTTCATTGATGCCTTCTGCTCCCCCCTCTCCTTCTTCTTTTTCTTCTTCTTTCATATGCGCCAATAATCTTTCGGATGTTGGCCTCGAATGAAAGCGAGAACGTAAGTGGCGCGTCGGCGCTTTGAGGAAGTCTCGCGCGGATAAGAGAGATAGCTAGGTGGATGGATAGATGGATGGAGAGTGGAGTGAACGAGCAAGAGAGTAAAGTGCGAAATGTATATATGTGTATATATATATATAGAGAGAGAGAGAGGGGGGGGAGGGACGGCAGGCGACAAGAGAGCGATTTCATAGTTTCTTAAGAGCAGCGCGACCATCCTGGCGCTTCGCCAGAATCTAAAAGCGCTCGCGGCGACACAACGCATGTACGTTGTGACACATTGTAAACATCGATAAGTCCCAGGGAGAGTAGCGAAATCGCCTGCCTGAGGACACACAGGGGGAGCACTGTGTCGGCAGAATGAGATCCGCCGAGGTTTCGCGAGAGACTCGCGATGTGCGATGCGCGTATCCAAAAATAATCACCGCGATCGCTTCGGGATGCACATCTCTCTCCTCGCATCTTCTTCGTAAGCGCGCTTTTCTCGGCTCACTGCGAACGATCTTCCCGCCCGCTTCGTCGATCGAGTTCTCTCTTCGCGATCGCGTCGCAATTTCCCGACGTGCAACAACGTCGTCATACAGTCGCCGTGATATTTAGCGATCGCCCCGCGATAAGTATCATTGCCACCGTATTCGTCATCCGTAAAAATCCGCTACTTATTACCTCCCACTCCCCCCTCCCCGTTGTGGCTATTTGAATATTAGTTTGCGACCACACGGTCTCGCAAGTTTGTTCCTTAATAAACCCTTCTCTCTCAGCATGATGTCCAGTCTTGTCGAGTTGGTTGATTTCAACTGCATCTGAAATTAGTCAAACGGTCTAGTTTCGGATGGAGCTACCGCGAGAAAGGACTCGAGATAGAAGTACAAGGGTTGCGCGTCCAATTACGGAGTAGACGCAGGCAAGGGCGGTCTCTCTGCGTCGCGTCGCGTCGCGTCGCGTTGCCAAGAAACGACGAAGTAGGCTGCGAGGATCCTGCTCGCCGTTAAGGGAATTTTCGGGCGGAGAGGGGGAAGGGGAAAAGTAAGGAGGAAGAGACGCGCGCCCTTATTGATTCAACGATGCTGTCCCCTCTTTAAATAGTCCGCTAATTAACCAGCGGCGACCAGGTATCGGTCACCGCGTTTCCTTACGTTCGATTCCATCTCGTTGGAAATTCCTCGAAATTCGCAGAGTTCTCTTCTCAGCGCGACTCTTCAGACGCGCGTTATAGCGCGTCTCAAATTTATGACGTGTAATCATTGGATATCCCCGGATCGAGCGGAGGCTCTCAATGGCGAAAACGAGCCTGTCGATGTGCCGCGTGGATAGGGCGATATTCACGAGAAAGAAAGAAAGAAAGAAGAAAGAAGTTACTTCCTCATCGTGGAAGAGTAAAAAGTAGAGGTATCTAAACTGCTAAACTCGCGGACGCGAGTTCTGTCGTAATCGCGTATCATCAAACTCATGCGCGTTCCATTCTTTGAAAATACGTTCGTAAGAGGTTGGATTATTTTATCAGAGTAGCCGCGCGTTAAGAAGCCGGGAAGTAACAAGTCGCTCATTAACGACGCTCGCCCGCGCGTCGTTGATTCCGACGCGACGTCGATCTCTTTCAATAAATTGCGAGTACTCGCACGCCGATAAAGTCGTTGGCCTCAAGTCGAAGAGGCAGTACGCCGTAGACGCGTAGGTGGATAGCCAAGTCTTATGAATGAACTCTCGCGTACGAGAGTGTGAGTGAATGGAGGAGGATTCTGTGAACCTCACGTGTGAGCGACGTGTGTGGGAGGTTACGTGAGAAGTGGCAGGGAAGAGAGGAACAGAGAGTGAAAGAGAGGAGAGAGGAGGGGGGGAGAGAAAGTGAGATGGAGAGAAAAAGGAAGAGAGAGAGCGAGTGAGAATGAGAAGGATGGGACGAGGGTGGGGGGAGAAAAAGATGGGAAAAAGAAGTGTGAGGTGAAATGTTGAGATTCGCGTAAAATTCGCACATTCGTTCGTTTAATTCGCTTAATCAGTATCCCATCCTCGTAGCTGATCGATGATAATTCTGACGCGTTGTTCCAACGCGTATTGTAGTCGATGATAGTTCGATATTCCGCGCGAACGTGCAGAACTTTTCATGAAGCTGTTGAGCGAATTATTTGAGGAAGCGGAGGTGGAGCGAAGTAAATCGACCGTGTCTTGAGAAGAAATTTTTCTGAACACAGGTCTTCTGAGCGGCCAGTCTCTTACCATGAAGCCGGACCCTGAAAAGAAGACGCTCATTAACAATAGCAAGAAGGCGTCGCAAGCAATATACCCTACGATTGGCTCACCTGCAACAACCAGCCTGTCTTTACTGACTCCGCAGCAGCTCATAGTGGCCAGTCGGACTGCGGCGTTTATGGCTGCAGGATTACCAGTATCACTGCACGCGTCGTTAGCCACCAACCCGTCGTTGTATCATCATTCGCACAACCTCTTCGCTAATTGGATACCGCCAGCGCCCTCGCCACCCTCTACTCTTCAACACCCATCGACACCGCAGTCGCCGGCCGTGAGCGCGAGGTCCACCGTTCAGCATCATAGCCCATCCAGCACCATCACCAGCAGCAGTAACAACAACAACAAGAGCACCAACAATAACAATATGGTCAACGATAACGACCGAGGCGGCAAGAAGGCTCAGACCACCAAGAGGAGACCGAGCAAAGCGAAAGCGGACAGCACGCCCGCGCCAGCTCCTTCGGAGGCCGCGACTTCGTCCAGCCCAGTTCCTACGGTCAGCCCTGAAGCGACAAAGGACAGCAAGGATAAGGTGTTCACCTGTGGAGTGTGCTCGCGATCGTTCGGTTACAAGCACGTGCTGCAGAATCACGAGCGCACGCATACCGGCGAGAAGCCTTTCGAGTGTCAGGAATGCCACAAGAGGTGAGATCTCTCCCATGAGATTGAATTGTTATTATTATTATTATTATTTATTATTCTCATTACTTTTGTTACAACATGTATCTCCTCGATGCAGAGCGCGCGTTTGTGATGGTGAAGTTGGCGCGAGCCGCCGAGGCTCGCCAACTTCCGAGTCCGAAATTTCGATCGTAATTTCCGCTGACCTCATTTTCTCATCTCTGCTCCATCTCACACCAAGTCACATTGCACGATCATTGTCTGTCGCGCAGATTCACCCGGGACCACCACCTAAAGACGCACATGCGGCTGCACACAGGCGAGAAACCCTATCATTGCAGCCACTGCGACCGACAGTTCGTTCAAGTAGCGAATCTTCGTCGTCATCTGCGGGTACACACGGGCGAGCGTCCGTATACTTGCGAAGTATGCGGGGCCAAATTCAGCGACTCGAATCAACTGAAGGCGCACTCGCTGATACACAGAGGCGTGAAGCCGTTCGAATGTGACACTTGCCAAACAAAATTCAGAAGGCGGCATCACCTGATGCATCACAAGTGCGGCACAGGGCAGCCGTCGCAGGCCGAATCACGGTCACACACCGACACGCAATCGAACACGAGTGAGGAGCCGGAAGATAACACCGAGACCGACACGCAGTCGGACGAGATGGAGAGCAGCATGCACAGCGCCAAGAAAGTCAAGGCGGAGATCCACGAGGAGCCGTCGAGTCTGGCGGCCAGCACCCCGATTTCGGTACCACTGGATCTGTCCAGTGTTAACTTTCCGGAGCAAACCGAGCCCGAGGATCTGTCCATGTCCACTGGCAGACTGATCTCGGGTGGCGTCAGCAGCAGCAGCAACAGCAGCAGCAGCAGCGGCGGCAACAGCAATAACAACAACAACAACAACAACAGCAGCGCCTCCTCGACCACTCACAACAGTCCCAACAGCGATACCGTCCTCGAGGACGATGATAAGCGCGGCATCTCCGCTGCCAAACCCAGCAATCTGCTCGCACGACAGCCACGACGCAAATGCGGCCGTCGTCGAGATGTGAGCACGGTCGACACAGCCAAGGCCGATTCCTAGTGGCATTCTCCTCACTGGTATGTAGAGAAAACTACCCTCTTGTCCTCGATGGCAGGCATTGTCACGAGTCTTGTCGGCTGACGAAGAAGAGCGTGAGAAAGTGCGCGCGATTCGAGCGCTCCAATTCCTACCTCGAGTCCAACTGACCAGCCATGCGTCAGCAGCTCGCGCTGATTCATTGATAGGTCTCTACATCGGTTTACAGTCATTATTGTTAAGATGCTTTTTATAAATAAATAAATATATATATATACATATTATATATATATATATTTATGTGTGCGTGTGTATATATATATATATATATATATATACTACATATAGATTATATATATATATTATTGTATTGTGTACGCGAACGCGCGGATATACACCGAAACGGATATACCGAGCGCGGCAAGTCTGGATATGATGTATCCTATAGAATGTGTACTTTAAAGAGAGAGACAAACATAAATTCAGGGACATATTTACTGTTGACTGTTTACTTGGACTCTGAAACGATATTTAGACGCCTAGATGATTCAGTGCGAGCAGCCGAGCAGCGCGACACGAATCGTGATAATGGAAACGGGTGGGGGGGAAGTGTGTCTCTCATCATATCCATTTGGGATTTCCAATCCGTGATCTGCGCGTGTACACCTGCGCATGCATACCTGTGCGTGCATATGCGCGTTACGGTAAAGACGATTAATTGTCTCGATGCTTTTTATAAGATGACAAACGATTCTATAAGAACAGCTACGCTTTTATTTCCACTGGATATTTTATACAGTCACACAATTAAACGTCTACGCCGTAACGCACATTCGTACGGCGAACGATTACAGATTCGATAGTCTGAGGAAGATAAAGCAGGAAGAGAGAGAGAGAGAGAGAGAGAGAGAGAGAGAGAGGGAGAGAGAGAAGGAGGGAGGGGGAAAGAGAGAGAGAGAGAGAGAGAGAACGATTTACGCGCAAACTCCCTCGGAGTGCGCCCTGTCGCTTTTGCGTTGTTGTACATAGTTTCGCCCCGGTACAGAGAAATCATATTTAGTACGATCGCGTGTGCGTGTATGTGTGCGCGTGTGTGCTGTATCGTTTGGAGGAGCGAACGACGGTGCAGGATGAGGAGAAAGAGTGCGTATGTGTATATGAGAATATGCTTGTGGAATAAATGTATTTGGTATACAAGTTCCTCTGACAGTTAAAGTAGCGGGGAGGAGTGACGACGGTCCGTCGGTCCACTATGTCGCTATATCGGGAGTTCATGTTTTTCTTTTTTTTTTTTCTTTTTGTACTAAACATTTATGACACGTTATTCTCTGTTATATCGTTACTTTGCTTTATCGCCCGAGGATTTGTTAAACAAACGGAACGCGGCAGTGTACCTCGATCGAACGCGCGCTTTCAGTCAACTGACGCATTGGCGATCCCGCGTCGGTCGAGCGTCGCCGTCGTCGTAACGTTCGCGTTCGAGCTCGAGACGTTCCGTGTACCAGCGTGAAATGATCACGATGTGCATGTGAAACATTGCGTTTATTATATATAAAAAAAATATATATATATATATAATATGTTGGTTGTTTAAGATTTAGGATTTAGTGTTTAGGATTTAGCTATCCGTACGGCGAAGATCCGACGACAATCAAACGTTCGTAGTGACATGCTTTCAAGTTAACGCGCGGACGATTGGTTACATAGTGCCAGCGGAAGATGATGTAATGAAAGTAATCATTTGTACCCTCGTAAACTCGACAATTCTCCCACACCGGCTAGGATGAAGGAGACCCCTTTTTCCGCTACACACCAGAGACTCGCGATCGTCTCGCTCGCTCGTTCGCTCGAGAGAGAGAGAGAGAGAGAGAGAGAGAGAGAGAGAGAGAGAGAGAGAGAGAGAGAGAGAGAAAGGGCGACCTGAAATTTAAAGCAACCTCCATTACCTCCTCACAGTTTCACTTTGCCCGTACAGTATGCGGATCGCATAATCGCATAATCTTCTCCGATTTCCGTCTCCTTATCCATCGGACACGTACACCCGGCCCCAGTCAAAGATCTCTTCAAAGACCTCTGCTTCTTTTATCCCGACCTCAGCCGGCGCGCGTGTTTCGCGCGAACCAGTTTTCGCGACGACGCACCGGTCCGTCGAAAAATTTTGCAGCCGGTCACTGGTCGGGCAGTTTCATTCTCAGAAGCTTTACGCAATCACTCTCTCAACGCTCGTCCGATTTATATCCGCAGTGTGCATGCAAATTTGTCATCCTGACCGCCGAGTCAAGGCCACCTATGCGTCATTGTTCCGCGATTACGCGGTACGCTTTCCGGAATCGGTTACATCCCGATAGTTTCTCTCTTACAACTTGGGAACGAGTAAGCGTTCTCCTCTGTGTAGGTCTCTCTTTTCGTCTCCCTCGGGACATCATGGCAGGGAGAAGAAGAAAAAGTAGAGCAGAGACGCAGTAGGGAGTCTCTCTCCCTCTTTTGCATTTTGCACAAATATCGCTCGAAATACCTGGTTGCTTAAATTACCCTCGTTTATCTTTCGTCCGTTTCGCTCGACCGTGTCACATGAAGAGAGAGAGATAGAGAGAGAGAGAGAGATAGATAGATAGATAGATAGAGAGAGAGAGAGAGAGAGAGAGAGAGAGAGAGAGGGAGAGTGAGAGAGTGAGAGAATGAGAGAGACGAAAGAAGAGCGAGAAAAGTTGTGCAGCAGCCCTGCCATTGCGTCGCGCGCTGCTAACTTTTCTTCAGGCCTTCATCTCGCATTTCCGTTACTTTTGGAGAATATTCGCCTCTCGATATGCATATATCGCGTCCAATATATACATATAGCAAAAGGCAAATATTCTCCTTACGCGTACTTCACTCGCTTTATATACATATACGTTCGTATGTATATGCAAGACCTATGTAGCAATCGTTGGGAGAACTGTCTAAAATCGCTCGATTAATTCAATGATATCCAGCGTACGAATGATGATCAATTCAGAGATATACGCCGAGATCAGACGCGAAATCTGCCGCGCGTTTCGCTTAGGAGGCAGCCTTGTGAAATGACTGACTATGAGTACAGAGTACTGAGTATCGGTTATATCGGTCATTTTTATACGTTTCTTTGGAGCGCGTTAATTAGGACTCTGAAGATTTCAATTTCCGTTTTCATTATTATCTTTTTGTCTTTACCTTCGTCTGACGTCTCACCGCCGGGTTGACCCATCTTGAGAAGACGGGCGTCTCGCCGTTAGTTTTGCACATCCCGGCATCGCCGGGTTACAGTTTCTCCACATATTTTACGAAACTGGAGCAGGTCTACAATATTCTCGCTTATTTTCCCGTTGACCTCACTAGGAATCTCTTCTGTGATTTCCTTCCCGTGCTTTCCTTTCCAGAGATCCTTGTTCCCCAGTATGCCGAGTCGTGGAACGTCTCGATCTCGTATTATTCGCGCCCAGAGAGAAAAGAGGAGCACGATGCTTCGTCCGGCTCGATTCTCACGGAAAATTCGACACCGCTCGGCATGATAACGTATCGTATCTCCTTTCGTTTTTAAGACGTTAAGTTGGAGGAAGAAGGAAAGAAAGAAAGAAGAAACATAACGCCGTAACGTTTGGCTCTAATTCATCCGCATATTCGTTTTGTTGATCGCACTCAGCAGAGACGACGTGTGTCTCATTGCTACATTTGTTACGATTGCGGCGATGCTGCTTCGTTTCTACCAAACGTGCCGCAAAGAGGCAAACTTGGGGAAGAGTAAATGCATCGCATTGTACATAGCAGTACCTTTGTTGCGCGCGCCTTGCGACGCGCAAGATTGTCAGCTCGGAATTGGCTCGGGATTGTTGCTCTCGTTACTCGGCCGTAAAATGCCGATCAAACCCGCTCGCCACCGTGTACACTCTCGGTGAGTCCGCACGCGTACTACTCGCGCGAGGTTGGACAAAAAGTCGATGACTTGCTGACTGTCACCTCCGCTGAATGTGCGCCACGATGACCCTGTCGGAATATACCATTCGCGATTCGACTGGTAGACGGCGACAGAGGTCAGTAGGCCTCGACCTCATATCCCGAAAGAAAGACAGATCTCATCTCATGCAGAATCCCCGAGTTTATTGTACATAGAGAGAGAAGGAGAGAGAGAGAGAGAGAGAGAGAGAAAGAGAGAGAGAGAAAAAACGTATCAACCCCGCTTTGGATGGAGAGGACCGCATAAGAAACGAGAATTCACAAGCGAGAGCCTCGCGCGCCTTCTTTCTGTTTTCTTTTTATTTTGTCCTCCTTTTTTCACCATCCCCCTCTCCTTCGCCCTCCCCCTCCCCCTTTGCCTCTCGATGACAGGCAAACGAGCGTACAGTGATGCCGTGACAGAGAGCGCTTAACGAATTTGCTTGTGGCCAGTTCGCGACAATCGGCGAGACGAGAACCGGTCCCGCTCATCTCGCGCGACAGTACGACGGGCCGGACACATCGGGCTTGAAGAGAGTGACTTGATCGGAGGGAGGGGGAAAGAGGCGACGCGATTATTAATCGAGAGTGGCGCCGCTGAAGCGTGCCCTTTGTGTCTGAGGCAAACGTGCCTCACGAGCAAAATCTTCTTCCTCGTCACGCGGACTAATCGCGAGAGACAATTGCTCGCTTGTCGCAACGTGCAACGCGCAACAGGAGAAAAAGAAAGAAAGAGAAGAGGAAGAAAAGGGCGCTCTCTGGGCATCTCGATATCAGGGGATCGGCATCGCTATGATTTCGTCGTGTTCGCATAGAGAGACGTGTGTCCAATCCGCTCGCCTCGACGCGGCGATCGCCGCTAATTGATAAAACGTATTTTTTGCCGCGTTCACGCGGAGGGAAAAGTGAAGTGCAGCTCGCACGAAGAGTCGCGCGAAGCCACGCGGGACTCGAGCTAGCCCCGCGAGAGCTGCTCGAACAAGATGTCCCGACGCGTCGTTCGCTCGCTGATTCATCATTGTTGTTGCCGCTAGTGTCGTTCACGGAAACACGGTACGTTCTTCGACGCGTTCCTCGAGCGTTTGTACACGCGACGAATTCGCTCGTTTCATCATCGGCCTTCATTGAGGCTCGATCGCCCAGCGGCGCGCGCGATTGATTTCAACCCGACCCGCGAGCATACATATACACACACACACACACACACATATATATATATATAATAATAATCCGTGAGAAGAATCATAGCCGAATGATACGGATAACCGCGTCCTACCTTTGTTCCTAACGT